TCTTTGATTACATTTCCGTTGGAATTCTCGAATAACATTAATCAGCGGCGAACATAACTACAGAAATATTCTTCGGATAAAAAATGTTCACGAAAATAGGGGTATTATGTTTGACCGTTCAATTTGTTTTCCAAATCAATTGGTTCTTCCGATCGCGCGTACTGTAAAAATGCAAGTAAAAGAATTGCGTATTGTAATTATAATTGCGTGTAGGAAATGTATTAAAATCAAAGGAAATTCTGTTGATTCGCAAATTCTTCTGATGAAATAAAAAAAGGAGGGAACAACGACGGCTGACGGTTGAAAATTTCTCTCACTTTTCTGCGCTATTTTTCAGAAGAAAGAAAGAACGCAAGAGTGAATTTCACTTGGATTTAATAGTTTTATCTGGCAAATTTCCTGCTTGTATCGTATCACCCCCATTGGTCTCTGGTAATCCTTCAGAAGAATTTTCTTCTTCCACCCCTAACTTCTTGAGATAGAGCCTTAGTTTCGTTCTATAGAGCCTTGGTCACGAACGTATCAACATAATCGGTATAACATACTGGTCGCGTGAAAAGTGGATTTGTGATTTCGTCGGATGTTTAAACAAAAATTAATTTTGTTCGTCAAACGTGTTACGACACAACCATCTACACTTTCGATATATTTACAGTATCATTCCGCGTGATAATTCTAACGTTTCACCGACAACCAGCGAGATAAACGCCAACGTTACATCCTGATTTAACCACGGCGAATTAAGCAAATTGACGCTACAACAATCCTTGGCAAGGTAAACGCAAATATGCAGCAGTTCGGCATTAGTAGAATACATATGCAGAGCTGGGTAAAATACCATTTTAAATGGCAAACATATATTATATAATTGGAATATATTATAATATACGTATTATAATATACTGGTATTATATTATAATATATGTTATATATATATTTATGATATTATAATATATGTTATATATATATTATTTATGTTAGTATAATATATGTTATATAATTGGAATATATTATAATATACGTATTATAATATATTGGTATTATATGTTATATAATTGGAATATATTATAATATACGTATTATAACATATTGGTATTATATTATAATATATGTTATATATATATATATTTATGTTAGTATAATATATGTTATATATATGTTATATATATATTATAATATACGTATTATAATATATTGGTACTATATGTTATATAATTGGAATATATTATAATATACGTATTATAACATATTGGTATTATATTATAATATATGTTATATATATATATATATATATATATATTTATGTTAGTATAATATATGTTATATATTTTATAATATATGTTATATAATTTGAATATATTATAATATACGTATTATAATATATTGGTATTATATTATAATCTATTAGTATATACATTACAATATACGTATGTTGATACATCGATATCCGCTCAGCCTGTTTACCATTCAACTTAATCGCAATTAAATCCCAAAGTTCGCCAGATAGAATTTCAAAAAAACAGAGGGACTTCGCCACAGAAACTTTGCCCTTCGTTTCGAAGCGCGGGCGGTGTTATAACAGGGGGGAGAGACAAACGGCGGTTCCCTCGGGAAGATAGTAATTGTCCTCGCTAACTGACAATTAGAGAGCAATTAATTCTGTAGATGACCTTTCGCAATCAGCGTAAGTGGTGGAGAGAGAGAAAGAGAAAGAAAAAAAAAAAAGGAAAAATAAAACGAGAAAACAGGAGAAAAGTCGGGTGGGACACGGTTACCAGGCAGCAGGAGGCCGCCGCGTATATTCGGCGCATTGTCACGGTACACGCAACCACCTTTAGAGACGCTGCACACGTGCTGCGTTCGTGAAATCGATCACAACTGTCCGTTCCCGTGCTTTTCACAAGGACAAGCAGAATCCCAGGAACGTCCGATCCTCGTCGCTCGACAACGAAACGAACTCGTCGATCAATCGGCACGCTAATGGCGGAATTCGGCCATCGGCCACTCGATGCACTCAGGGAAAATTGTATTCGAAGGTACGTCAAGCAGAGCCGGGAATCGCAGTTGCCAAATTCCGCATTGTCTTTCGATTACACACCGAGAACGAGTCGGTGAAAGAGCGCTCGCTCGCTCGTTCGTAAGCCGATCCTCCCCTGTTCCCTGTTAGTTCTTTCCGCCATTATAGGCGCGATGCCCGTTAAATTAACGCTCAAGAGCGCCGCTGGCGGTTGTTCGCAATTTGCTTGGCTCACTTTTATTCTACCATGGCGGGGAGGAAGGAAGGAAGAAAGAAAGAAAGAAAGAAAGGAAAAAAAAGAAAAAGAAAACAGTCGTTTGTGGTATAAATGGCCTGAAAGGATCGAATCGTACTGCCAGGGTTTAAAAGTCGATCTTTTGCGTTTGTCGTGCTGCCAGATTTGATAAAACAGAGGGAGAGAATAGGTCTTTCGCGTGCAGAAAATAGCCGCGTGTTGTGGAAACCTCGGTTATGAAAATTTTGTTAAAATAAGGATTCAAAGGATTCATATACTTTAAAATTATTTTCTGTTAGAAATAACTCGCGACTGACGTATGTACGTATCCTAATTGCATACGAACGTATAATTTTCTTTGGATGAAACGATTTAGTCATGATCGAACTGTTCCGTAAATTCACGATTTTAACGACGAAAAGATATTTACGCGGTCACCAGATAATAAAGAAACTAAGATAATAAAAAAATAATTCTATATACTATATTTATATTATATATATATATAAATTCATGGACACGTTAATAAAGAAACTAAGATAATAAAAAAATAATTCTGTATACTATATTTATATTATTTATATATATAAATTCATGGACACGTTAATCACGATATCGAAGACATTAAAAATATAAATAAAGGTCTATTTAGCCTTAAATAAAATAATTCTTTAATTAATAATTTTAATACACCACTGAAAATGTTGAAATAATCCTTTAAATACTAATTTTAAATGCTAATTGGCTTCTGAATCCTCCGTTACAGTTGAAATTTCCCAACTTTCTTGCTCTCATTTTTTTTCTTCTTTTTTTTTTTTAACTTTATAGTCTAATAAAATCTTCAATTTCAATTTTCAGTATTGCCGCGTGTTTGCAGATTCTCTTTGCTAATCGTTTAAAAGCACAAAATAGCGATGCTCGTGTTTACAAGCGTGTAACAGTTTTACAATATGTACTCTGCACGCGAATCGCATGGATCGTGTTTTATTTCATATTTTCACGTTGCTTCTAAAAATACAACGTGATTGATTCGACGGGCGATTCACGCGATTCTATATTTTTCGCGCGTCTTTAATCCTGTCACAAAGCCCGGGGTTTTATTTTACTTTTTTCGTACTGGCGTTTGATCGTTCGAAGTTACTTATTTGCCCCGCGTTTTTTCCGATCGTTCGATCGTAATATTCGTTATCGGTGACTTGAAAGTACGGACACGTTGTTCATAAATCGATCAATCCAAATGCATATGATCTGGAATAACTTCTATCGTTTCACCGGATTTCGGAGATCCTCCTTTAACCATTTGAAAAGTCTCAAATTTTCTCCGAATCTGAAATGTCGTTATGGAATAACATAAACGGTGAAAAGAAAACGAAATAATGTGAAATAAAATGAAGCTCATCAGGAAAAGTTCCTGCGTGTTCGTGATTAAAATCGTGGAATATCGATCGTTTGTAGTATTAAACAAAAAAAAAAAAAAAAAAAAAGAGAAAGAAATGATATTTTACCGGACGGGAAGCTGCGTCAGTTGATTCATACTCTACAACACTTCGGCTTTTTATTTGACAAATGGGTCAGCTGTCCGAGCTTTTTATTTCGCGAAATCCTATCCAGGTCAGCATAACAGGTATAACCTATTCGTTTAATTTTACAATTTTTTATGACTTTCATGATTTTTGTCTGCAGTATAAACACGTGCGCGGGACATATCTCTTTTCAAATGAATATCGCAGAAGTGGTACACGAGAGCGATGTTTGAAAAGTGGAGCTTCCACGGGATATATATATATATGTATATGTATATATATATATACCAGCGAATATTAGTGTGACTAACAAGTGACAGCTCTAAGTACGTTCTCAGAAGTAGGTATACCGAGATATAAGTCTACAAGCGTACGATGTATGACGATTGAGGATTATAAAATGACTTTTGAGGGTTGAAAGATAACTTTCATGGAATATTTTCAACGTGAAATAAGTATGCAAAGGTGTATGACGATCGAGCGTTATAAAGCTGACGTCGAGAGGTAACTTTTGTGGAATATTTTCAACTGTGCAATCATTCGACTTGCGCGAGAAGAACAAATTTTGAAAATCATCTGAAACGTTTTCAGTTAGAAAGTTACGCGTCAAGCATTCCTCGATATTACAATAATTTCAAACTTGCGAGAAGATTTCTCGCGATAATTTGGCGTGCCATATTTAAATTTAATTGACACTGTAGGTTTCAATTCGTAGCGACGATTGGAAAGAGCATGTTTTTCAAATTCGAAAGAAATAAGGAGAATTGTTGATCTTTCGTTTGTAAAAATTTTATAATAGATTTCTCAAACGTTAAAAATTGTATTCCTGCTCGTAATGAAAGCGTCATTGAAGCAAACTAGATTCATTTGACACAGTATTAAATCGTGTAATTTTATTAAATAATGACTTTCCCATTTTAGAAAGTAATTTACAAATTACAAGTATTTTTTTTTTTTACAAATATATATCTCAGAACGGTTTTTAGAAACTGACAACTTCTCCAACGAGATTTAATATGAATTTCTCATTTTTCTAAATAAATAGCATAATTTTGAATAATGACATTTCCGATTTTAGAAAGTAATTTGGTCTTATTTCTCTTTTTACAAATATCTCACAACCCTTTCGCAAACTGAAGACATCTCGAATGTGATCTGATATGAATTTTTCATTTTTCTAAATGAAATGATCAAAGTTTCGATTGGTAGCAAAACAGAAACTTACTCGTTCGCTGTGTTCGACGTATGATACAAATTCAAATCCTGGAATACCACTTGGATTCGTTCTTTTCCTCGTCCCTGGAAGTCGTATGTACAATGCGTCCTCGGTGGATAAGGATTCGGATATCCTGGCGACGTGACTACGCCGGTTTTTGTCGAGTCACTGTTGAAAACGATGTCGCACAGTGACGCTGCAAGAAGAAGATAATAAAACACGGTTATGCACGGAATGCAATGGAACGTAGAAACTTGTTAAATGAGATTGAGAGTGTTTCAAAACACACTGTCGGGGAAAGCTGTTGCCGATTAAATGATAGAGACGAACGCTCTTTGTTACGGACGTAAATAGATTTATTTCGAATTTGAAAATTAAAAAAATTTCGCCGCATACGGGAATACAATTTTGAAATGTTTTGCTGACAGCTGCTTGAAAAATACAATTTCAGGGAATTTTTTTTTTTTTTTTATTAAAAATACAGAATATTGTCGGAATATCAGCTTGTCAAGAATGATTTTGAATTGATGTTACAAAATTTCTCTTGTAACCAATGGTGCTTTTGAAAAATAAAATTTTTCCTTACACGTGAATAATTCGTCGAAATACTGTATAAAATGTTAACATCGGAGAAAATGTTAACATAGAGTTGCAGAAAATTTATTTGGTGAATGTGGTACTAACAAATCTTAAATCTTACTGGAATTTTATATTACTAACATAGTATTAATTGAAGAAAACTTAATTTAAGAATTACAATATATACTACTGTATTAAATAAAATAAAAATAAAAAATATATCACTATATTAAGAATTACGTAGAATTCTAATATAATATATATTACTATTAGTATATAATATTAATATATATTACTATTTAATATAGTAATATATATTATAATTATAATTATAATATATACCACTATATTAAATAAAATAAAAATAATAATAATAAAAATAAAAAATATATCACTATATTAAGAATTACGTAGTATTAATTTAGTAAGATACTAATACAAATATTTTTAAATCTGTCTGTGTTGAGAATAGACAATCTTGCATAAAATATATATCCAAATCATCCAAATCATCAAATAATATCTTTAAAAATATCTTTACTTTGGTTTATTTTCATCGACAGATAAGCCTTTATTATATTACATAGTTATGACAATACAAATCGACTTAACAACAATAAAAATTACCAATAAAAAGACAATATGTCAAATCCTAGTCTCCTGGTTTACTTTCGTAGAAACATAAATTTGCATAAACGTTCAATCACCAAACCATTATATATCTCCTCAATTTTAAATTCTCTTCACAAAACATTCTAGATGCAACTATATTGCTGCGTCTGGTATATTGAACGTATAGGTCGCGCATTGTACACGTATATTTGCACATTCCTAGGTTTGCCATTGTTACGTTGAACTCATTCTACACACAGATTGTACGACAGTGTACACGCATTTGTGTGTCCAAGTATCTCTCCACGGTGGAGAATATATTTTCACGAGCGAGTCGTAAATTTTCTGCGAATAAACAGACGACTATTCGCAGGGTCGTAAGCTCGATATCGCGGCGCAAGTGGAAAATTCAGGGCTCGCTCTCAGCCAGGAATCATCCTCCAGCGTCCGGGACTTTTCGCCTATTGGATTTCCATTTCCATGCCGGGGCTAAATTACGAGAAACTTCATTTTTACAACACAGGGAACGAGACGAGGGTGGAGATTTTATTTTTCACGCGAATTCCTTTCCACGAAGAACGAATCGTCGAGATTGCTTGCGCGACAATTCCTGTGGCAAGTTGTTTGCAAATTTTAATTAATCGGCGTCACCGTTGATTACCAGACACAAAGAGTATTAGTTCATCGTTCGTCTGGTTCATTGGGCTGTTTGCTTAATTAGTTGGCTGTCGCACGACGTGTGTGAAACGTAGACGCTTCAAAGGCGTGCCACGAATTTACACGCACTCATTTGACGGCAAACGTAAAATTTCAACGCTCGATCTTCACTGTTCAACAGACGTGAACTCGACGAGATTATTTCGCGATTGACAGAAGAATTTTACGTGTACGAGCTATACGAGGCGAGTCTCGTAACGTGACGACGTCAAATAACGTCATAAAATATTTGTTGTACGAAAAAATGTCTCGGATAGAAGTTGCATGGCTTCCGGAGGTACATATAGTAATCAGTAATCAGTTTTTATGCTATTTTGCTTCTTTATCAAGGCCACCTTCGATTTTTTAGAACAGTTAATATTTCCTCCCGAATTTAGACAAAGCGTTGAATTCTACATAAAAAAAACTTTTATGTTATTTTACTTTTTTTATCAAAGTACGAAGGTGGAATTCTACATGAAAAAGTATTACACCAAAATGCAGTTACTGTGATTAACAGTTTTTTCTAATGTAAAAAAATATTTTTGCCGATATCTCAGTAACTATGTATTTCAGACCCTATTTGGTATGATACTTTTTTAGAATTCAACGCTTTATCCGAATTCGAGATGAAATATTAACTATTCCATTTAGAAAATTCGTATCTTCGTATCTTGATAAAAAAGGAAAATAGCATAAAATTGATTACAGTATACTATCTGTCTGGAAGCCATGCAACTTTCATCTGAAACATTTTTTTCGTACAGCAAATATTTTATGAGTTATTTTTTGTCGTCACGTTACGAGACTCACCCTGTACATGTAGAAACAATACTGTTTTCATACACTATTACTACGCCGAGGATAAAATGAAAAAGTTTCAAGAATAAAGGCTGCAAGGACATATGGTTTTTAGAAAGTGAAATTGTATTCAGAATCATTAACACGACATGTGATATAAATATAAATATCGAAAGAAACATTATATCTGCGATATGACATTTAACAATTTATCGACAACGCGTAACATCCCTATAGTAAACTTCTTTTTTTATTAACCACTGTAATTATTCACACAGGACGAACCATGTAATTTCATCACCTTGGATGTCTCACGTGCAAAAGAACACTATCATATTGTGGCTTCCTCTTTGTGTAAAGAATTTTTGTTAACAAAATTTTGTCGTGTCTTCAAAAACACCGTGGTATAGATATTCAAGGTGATCAAGTTACGTGGTTCATCCTGTAGAATTGATAATGTTTTATATTTTCCATGTTCAGAAGCGATTCAGCTTTTGTCGTAAACTTTTAAACGGTTCTCTGATTCGACTGGTTCATTCGTTTGTTTATTATTTGCAACATTTGTGTACTGATATCTCGTGTCAGTGTGCAATAATTTCATCACGAGTAATTTTTTCCTTCTCTTTGGTTTCTGCAAGTATTTGAATCTACTGTACTCTCGCTGCGTACTGTTTCATTAAAACGGCGTGCACGTTCGTAAATCAATATGAATAAATCAGTCTTTAAAAGAAAATAGTGGTAAGAAGGTTCTGTAATGCTCGAAACCAGAAAGATACGATATGACAGGGATTTACTGCTGCGTGGGAAACTAAAAAGGTGAAGTGATATGTACGACGGTTCATGAATGTTGCATGACTGTTTGGATCACACAGTCTTACATATCCGGATATCGTTCTCGAGGTTATTAGCATATCGAAGATATTGTTCATACTGGCACATTTCTCTTTAAAACGGTTCCAATTGTTTTCTTTTCTTTTTTTATCTCTTAAAGCTATGCTATACGTACGAGTATACTCTTATCGCAATGCTTTGAATAATAAGGCGATGTAAAATGTACTATGAGAAATTTTTCAAAGAATCTTTCAATCTGCACGTTCGAATGCGGAAAATGGTTATGATAATAATTATTTTAAAGCAATTAGGTTATATATGACAATTATTTTAAAATAACTGTTTTAATAATTTTAAATTATAATAATAATTATTATTTTATAATAATAATAATTATTATTATTATAATTTTAATTATTTTAATAATTATTTTAAAGAGTCAATATCAGTTCTCGCGAATTGCTTAATATAAAGTAAATGATTGAACTTTTGAATCAGTCGCATTTTTGATCTATATTTGCGGAAATTTGCACAAGAGGCTCGAGTACTTGGTAACACAAGAAGAAACGAAAGTTTTCAATTTTATAGTTTATTGTTTCCAAAAATTTCTCATCCATTCCACGCGATCTAAATTTATAATTTTTATAAATAAAAATAAATAATAATAATAATACAGATCTAATCTAATTGTAATTTATAATTCTTAGAATGCGCACGAATTTCTTTTTTTTTATATTAATTTATTGAGTATTTCTCTTGAAATTTTTATGTTCAATTCAATATTCAAACAGTCGAAAAGAAAAGAAATCATCTCAATTAGTTCAGAGAGTTGATACCTATCTCAATCAATCAACACGATCACGCTATTAATTAATTTCCGAAAAGTACAAACAAGTTCGAACGAATTTACACAATTTCACGTTCGAACGTGTGTTCCATCTAGTATCTACAATCATTGTCAAATAAATCAGATTCTACAGGCCGATACGTCAATGAACATCATGTATAATACCAATATATTATATCTTAATTTTCTTCGTCAGTTTCGCGTAATTGAAATACATAATTTTGACGTGATTTCACTCTGTTAAATTGAAGTAGAGATATTGAGCTGCTATCAATATTAATAGAGAGTTAAATAATCCAATCGTGATATTCTACGATAAGTTATAGCGTCGCTGGAAATTGTTCATCGTGACACACAGTTACGCTAATGTACGGACACTTAAATATTCGGACGCCAAATATTCAAATTTCGTAAAACAGAATCGTACAAAAATAAAGCTTGAAATCTCTACTTTCAAAACGTGTCCTTTATCTGTTCAACGTCACGCAGACACTTTTCCTCTCGAAAATATTATAAATTGTCACGGTGTATAAAAATATTGAACATTGTTCTCCATGACTGAATTTCTAACGAGTTTCTTCTCTTTACCATGATCCCTCATAACTTGATACACGATCTTCTTCCGCCATTTTATTAAATTCTGAATTATTGAAAATACTGTTTTGCTAGAAGCGTGATGCATTTAAAAAGAAAAGTCATCAGTTTTGAGATGTACAAGGATTAAAATATATTTTTTAAAATATATTTCGTACAAAGAAACGGGATGAGAATACTGTATACTAATATCACGTAACAAGTGATTGAACTTATTTAAGAAATATTAAATTTAATAAATAATATATTAAATATTAACAGATGTTCAATATATAATAAATAATTCTTGTAGAGGAATTTTTATTTTTTTCTTCTAGTGGGTGTTGTATTTCGATTGATTTGACCCTCTATCTTGTAACTTGAAGTCACAACTAACATATCCGTATGTCCACATTTTTAAAATTTCATTTCATCTACTCATTGTTTTACTATTAACATTTCATCAATGCATCATTACAAAAATACCGAAAGAATCATTTTGGAATTATTGTGATATAATTGTTTTAACATTATCCAATGTCAGTAGTATTATAAGTTGGAGTAAATAACTACTATGGAGTAACAATCTTTCCCTTTACTCCGGCAAGTAAACGAAATTCTGGTTCTAGAAGATTGGAAACACGTTAGACACTTTAATGTCATACAAAATACCGAAAGAATCATTTTGACATTATTGTGATATAATTGTTTTAACATTATCCAACGTTACTAGTATTATAAGTTGGAGTAAATAACTACTATGGAGTAACAATCTTTTCCTTTACTCCGGCAAGTAAACGAAATTCTGGTTCCAGAAGATTGGAAACACGTTAGACACTTTAATGTCATACAAAAGTACCTGCCTCTCCATTCAATGAAAAACATTTGCAAAAAAGACTGAGAGACTGTCACGTTTTTTCTTCAGGCGAAAGTCACGTTCTCGCCAAGAAAACGTACTTCCTCCTCGATTTACTGAAAAGAAAAAAAAAAAAAAAGAAAAAGTTGCAAGAAAGAGACACGAACGTAACGTGGTTTTCTAACGTTCTTATTTATCAAAAGCGCGGCCACTTCCTGCCGAGGCGGCCGCAAAACCTAAACCTCGGTATTTTTACATCCGTTCGGTAAATTCTTCGATAACTGGGTTAGCAAGCGGCAGCCTAGCGGACTTACCCGATTACGGTGCCGTTTCGCTTCGTTAGTGGCCAATTTCCGCGGAAATGGGAGATTACATAAGCGAGAAACGAGCAATGCGAGCAGCGGTCAACAAACGTTGCGCCGTTGTCGAGCGATTCGTTAAATCGCACAATACGCCCGGGCACGGCGAAGGAAATTAATGAGCCTGGGTTCGTTCGCCTTGGGCTCGCTCGGCCTCGGTCAGAAAAATACAAGAAACTCCCGAGGGGGGAGCCGCGACAAGTGCCCTGCCTCCTAATTGAATAATCGTGCCAGCGCGGCTGCTGGCTCGCCGATTCGCGAATTTTAATTCACTTTCGACGTTAATTGCGGTTTCTGTTTAACGACAGGAAATATCCCTACCTGGAAATTAACGCGCACCTTCTTCTCTCTTTTCCTTCACCGGCGGAGAACCGGCTCTAAAAAAGTAAATCCTCGTGCGGCAGTTTTCGGTCGAGGCTAAAGCTAGGTCTCCACTGGAGAGTAAAACTGTCGCCAGTTGCTCCCGAGAGAATTTCTCGCAAACGGGTAATGTCCTGAGAGTTACTGTCCCGAGAACGTCAACAGTCTGAGAGTCACCGAACGAAACTAATAATTATTTAATTATTATATAATATTATAATGTAATTGTTATATATATATTATATATATTATATATAATAATTTAAATTAAAAGAAATTAGTCCAACAATTTCACTTTTTTAGTATTTATTATTCTGTTCTCGGAGAGTTGCTCTCAGAATTTGAAAAGGGTTTCAATTATTCTTGTGCGAGCAGAATAATGAATACTAAAAAAGTGTGGTCAAAAAGTGAAATGTTGGACTAATTTCGTTTAATTTAAATTATTATATATAATATAATATGTATATAATAATTACATTATATAATATTATATAATTAAATATATAATAATTAAATAATTATTAGTTTAAATTATTATATAATAATTTAAATATTATATATAAATATAAATTAATATAAATTAATATTATATATAATAATATAAATTATATATAAATATAAATATAAATTAAATATAATTATATATAAATATAATTTAAATATTATATATAAATATAAATAAAGAATATTATATATAAATATAAATAAAGAATATTATATAATATAATTATTACATAATAATTTAAATATGATGTATAAATAAATATTATATATAAATATAAATGTTATATAATATAATTATTATATAATAATTTAAATATTATATATGAATATAAATATAAATATTATACAATATTATAATGTTATATAATTTAAATTATTGATTTAATAATCTTATGTTGATTTGTCTCGTTCCTCAAACTATAGATAACTATGAGGGCACATATATTTTTCCACCTCCGTGACAGCGATGTCACTGTTCACACTCGTGTTTCGAACTAGACTACACCACAGTGACAATAAACTCTCAAATGTACACGGTTTAGAGAGTTCTGTCGGATAGTAAGCTCTCGGAGAGTATTTCGGTCTCTCTCTCTCTCTCGGAGAGTGAAAATTCTCCAAGCTGCTCTCAAATGAACGCCTAGCTTAACCTAGGTGAGCGAGCGAGTGACAGAGGGGTGAAATATATGGCGACGAGGTGGGACGAGGAGAAGGAGAAAGTATCGAGAGAAGTTGGAGGAAGAGAGGAAGCAAAAGTGGAGAACGGAAGAATGTTTAGCAAGCAGAGCTATTTACCGCGCGTTCATTATTTAAGTTCTTCCGGGAGGGGGAGGGCGACCGCCCCCGGTAGCGGCTTATCGACTTTTGAACACCGCTTATACGGCAAGTCAAATAACGTGGATAGAGAGCGAGGAAGAGCGCGATAGGAGCGGGGCAAACGTTTTAATTTGCATTCATGAGCCGTCCCTCTCAAAATTCTTAGGAGGCCGCCCAAGTATTCCAAGTCTCTCTGGTTATATTCGACGGACGAATTCACTTATGACGATCGATGCGTCTACCTTGGAAAGAATGCGCCCGGTTTCGCCTGATGTATTCGCCGGTGTAGCCGATTTCGGTGGTAGACGAGAGAATTGAACCGCGATTTAATATCGAGAAGCCAACAATCGCGGACACGGGCACAGCTCGTCAAGTCATTCATCCTGGAATGAAGAGTGGCGGATCGCTTTTATTTTCGCGACTATTGTTATCGTCGGTTAACAACGAAGGAGAAGAAGAAAGGGATCTTCTCCTTTCGGCTTTTATCGAGCTACTAATTGGTCGGAGGAATTATACGTCATTAAGCGTTGGTATTGTTTGCTCGTACACGAGGAGCGAACGGCGAGATTACATTAAATTATAAACCGAAGGGAGATCCTGTCGACGATTGTCTGCTTTGTTTATTGCGCGAATTTGTTGTTGGGACGAGATGTCAGACGGAGGCAAATTTATAAGTTTGTCGTGAAAATCATTTGAAAATGTGAAAATTGTTGTACACCGCGATCGATATACGCGGAAACGGAGGAGATTGAAAAGTGAAGTGAAAATTTATGTAAAAATGAACGTTGTACGTTTT